AGAAATGTATAAACAAACGTATATCTAGATGTAGAAAATAACTTAGGGGGGTTATTGGGAGATTGAATCTAAAAGAGTTTGTGGATTTCAAAAGTTTTAGAGATTTTAAAATTTTCAAAGATTTTTGTAGATTCTAATAAATGTTTACTTTTTTAGAGTTTAGTAGATTCTTAGGGGGAGTTATTGGGAGAATGATTTTTAAAGATTTTTAGAGTTTAAGATTCCATTGTTATTGGTTTATAGATTCTTAGATTCCTAATAAAATCTCTTGTTATTGGTGTATGTATTTTGTAATTCTATTTAAAATCCTTTGTTATTCAAAAAGTTGAGTATTTATTGATTTTCCAATTCTATCAAATTCTAGTGTTATTGGTTTAATGATTCCTTACATATTTAGTCATTAAAAACAACTTTCAAAATACTGCAATTCTCACAAGTATTTATAGAATCTATCATATGAAGAATCTATTAAACTCTAGAAATCTGGGTAAACATTATTTTAGAATCCACAAAATTTTTTGAGAATCTTAAAATCTCTAAACTTTAGAAATCCATAAACTCTTTTAAAATCATCCTCCCAATAACCCCCCCTTAATATGATAGATTTTACAAATACTTATGCTAAGTGCAGTATTTTGAAAGTTGTTGTTAATGACCAAATATGTAGGAAATCATATTCCCAATAACACTAGAGTTTAATAGAATTGTAAAATCAATAAGTACTCAACTTTTTGAATAACAAAGGATTTTAAATGAAATTACAAAATCAACACACCAATAACAAAAGACTTCATTAAGAATTTAAGAATCCATAAACCAATAACAATAGAATTTTAGATTCTAACAATCTTTAAAAATCATTCTCCCAATAACTCCCCCAAAGTTTATTATGGAATTTCTTTCAGTAAGTTGTGTATGCTCTGATGAGTTTCTACCTTCTATTGAAAGATTATTTATAGAGATTCTTGATGATAATAAGGTTAGGTGTGATTGCTAACAATATTCTCAAATCTCCGAAATCTATTTAGCGACTAGTTGCTAACAATATTCTCAAATCTTATCAAATTACCAAATTTTGGACCTATTTATTAATGTGAATATTATTTTTAAAGAAAGTATGCATCATTGTGTTCACATCATTTTTTACAAAACAAAATTAAAAACATCATACTCATAAAATAACATTAATCATACTCCAAGAATACCTTCATTTTGTAAAATCCCCCATTGTAATATTTGATTATAATATCTATACTATTAAAAGGGGAGCACAAATTGGAGTTGTTGCCAAACAGATTAAATAAAAAAATGAAATAAAATGTAATCCTTGTGACCTATCTTACATTTCATTACTAGTTATGCAAATGTAATATCCATTGATAGTACATAGTGTGCACATATACTAAATTTGTCAATTGTTGGTTAGTTTACATACTAATTTTTGCAAATCCAATTATTTATTCTTCTTTTTAGTATGTATACACTATTTATGATTATTAGTCGATTGTAAGTTAGTCTATTTTGTATACACCCCTATGTTTTGTTAAGAAAAATCACCAGTTTTCCCACACTCCCAAATTTTTGAAAACAAACAAATGCTAATTAACTCTAGAATATGTATACCGTTTATGACACATAACTCTAAGCTGGTGAAAACTACTGTTGTTTTGGGCATGAACGGATTTATGGAGTATGGTCTTCCAAGAAAACTTCCCTACATGTTTACGACGGCTTAAATGACAGCAAACAACACAAAGATGAGGATCTTTGCTACAAATTCTTTAGTTTGTCTATGTTAAGAAAAACTAGTATGTTTTCTATGTACATGAACGTTTCCTTTGAAACAACTTAGTGTTTATGACCTGAGATTTACTCTTAAGCAACTTCTACTAACCAATTTACCAAACAAAACACTTGTCGTACTTGGTGTTGCATGTTTTTGGACCTTTTCAATATAATCACGCAAAGTTTCTTTGCTTTGGTTTTACATGAATATAACCAATCCGAATAGCCAAACGGATGACAATATTAGAAATTATTCTGAACAAATTAATTTACTTGTAGAAACTAGTAAATATACTTCAAAACACAGAGAAATTACAATATAAGTAAAATATAAATTATTACCTAGCTAGCTCCATTTCAAGAAGTTTTCATCACTTTTTCATGATCCATCAATGAGGTCAGTAGTCTCACATGGATGTAGATGAATCTCTACGAATTTGGTATTTTTGCTGTATTGTTTCTGCTTGTAGCACAAGTAACTCCTAACATGGGTTTTTGCAATTTATCTTTTCTTTCTTTGTAATTATTTTTTGCAATTCTTCTTTTGGTTCGATGAAATTTTGAATTCCACTGGTTTGTTCTCACCTTACGGCTGAGCCTGGACCCATTTCTCCTTGTCTAGTTAGTCAAAGTTTGTTCTCAGCTTTTTTTATCTTCTTTGTCTTATTTATCAATTCTATACATTTTTCACATTTTCTCCTTGCATTGTGGTTTGTAGAGAAAACATACATTATAAATAGCTCCGAGTGAGAGTCTCCCTAGCAAGCTGACTTGGTTTAAAGGATTAAGGGTAGCAAAGAGTGTGAGAAGGGTACTATCCAGATATAAAATCAACTGTTAATGGAAAATGACATTTATACATGTGACATGTGTGCCGTTTTAAAAAGTCAAGTGTGTTGTTTTTTAAGACCAAAACGGCACATAACTCTCTTGAGGAGGCAAAGCGACGGTGTTTTATAGGTGCATACTTACATTTTCGTATAAATTTTCCATTTTTCGTTTGATTTTGTGTTCTTTACTTATTTATCGATCTTCTTCCGGATCAAATTCCATCGGCAAGCAAAGCAAGAAGCTTTTCGATCTTACTCGTCTCCTCTGCCGTTATAGGTTTGTTCTCTTCCTGAATTATACTCGCCTTCGATTGAAAGGATCCATCTTTGATTCTGGGTTTTTGTTTTTTTTTCTGGATTAAGGTTAAAAAGGAATCCTTCAGGACATTGATTTGTTGCGTAATTCCTTTGTCTCTATCTCTTTTGCTTACGTTCCACGATCCACTAATGTTCTAGCAGACTCGTTGGCTAAAGCTGCTCTTTTAGAGCTTGTATCCTCTGTTTCCTCTACTTCTAGTTCTGGAGTGTAACACTCTGTTTACTTTTAATCAAGTATAGGAACTTGTTGTGTAGAGTAGAGATAAAATTGTAATTCCATAATTTATACAGCAATGATTACTTCTAGAGACTCTATAAGCGATTTGCCAGATGAGATTCTTGGCAAAATCTTGTCTTTGCTTCCGACAAAAGAGGCTGCTTCCACATCGGTTCTGTCCAAAAGGTGGAGGAACCTTTTGGGTCTTGTAGACAACCTCTGCTTTGATGATTCGATGGTTGTGTATCCCAACGAAGAAGAAGCTTTAAGTGGTAAATATCGCTTTCTCGAGTTCGTAGACAAGGCACTCGCTGTGGCTCTATCAAGCAACTCTCACATCAAAAGGTTCTCTCTTTGTTTTGAAAACAGTCATAGATATGACTTCGATGGCGTGAGCAGTTGTTTCATCCGTTCGATTTTGACTGCAATGGAACTTGATCTTTTGGAGATGCACTTGCACGCTGGCCCTTTGTCTACTATTGGGATTGAAACTAAGTTTTTGACGAGTAACACACTTGTTAATCTCACACTATCTGGGTATTGTTTCCTTGAAGCTGAGGGTGTGTTTTTTCCAGCTCTTAAATCACTTTCTCTCTTATCAGCTTCAGGGATTGATCACCACAACTATACTCAGCTCATCGATGGCTGCCCTGTCTTGGAAGAACTGTTCATCTCTGAAGACCCTAATCCTTCTGAAACACCATGTTGTAGTGTGGGTGTGGAAAGTGCATCTATCAAGCGACTTGTCGTTTCTGTCAATCTTCCGGGTTCTCCAAATGATCACAAAGTGAATTATTTCGAAGCACCAAGTCTCGAGTACCTTGACTACTCAAGTTATGTCTTCGACAATTATCAGTTACTTGATATGGGTTCGCTTGTCGAAGTCAGGCTAAGTCTCCGGTTATGGGAGTCAACTATTGATTATGATTACTCTGATGATGACTAAGATGATGATTATTATTATGGTGAACCAAAGGAGGTTATATCTGGTGATGTTACAAACCTAGTTGCGGGTATATGCAACATTACGACCCTTTACTTGTCTCCTGGTTCCCTTGAGGTCAGTTCTTCTTCTTCTTCTTTTTCTATTGCTTGTGTTTTGGTTATGTGGTTGGTGATCTTATATAGATTTACAGGCGTTTCATTTCTGCTGTGCATCCATGCCAATGTTTTACAACCTCGTTTATTTATCTATTGAGAGTAACAAGGAAAAAGGTTGGCAAGTAATGCCGGTTTGGATCAAGAGTTGTTCAATTCTACATACTTTACTCATCAAGGTTTGATCAATTCCTTTATTGAGATTCTCTTTTGTGTTGTTTTCAGCCATTAATCAAGTCAAAATTGGTTTCTTGTTTCAGGGTCTTGTGCACAGAGTAACTAATAGCTGCGGAGATGCGTGTGTTTGTGTCCCTGAGAAGCAGAAGAAGAAGAATGAGACAAAGAAGAGGAAGATTGTGAAGGAGGATGAGGAGAACTTATGTTGTTTATGGACATGTCAAGTTCAGGTGTTGGAGATTTTAGAGTACGGTGCATCTTTTCAAGAGCTGAAACAGATGAGACATTTCTTGGGCAAGTTGGAATGTCTTGAAACGGTCAAGGTTGGTATTGATGCGGACAACAACAACAACAACACTGAGTTCTTGCGAGCTAATCTGCTGGCTCTCCCGAGACTTTCATCAAAGTGCAACATCCAATTTATTTGACCTCTCTTTCCTTATCTTTTCTCTTTCAATGTTTCTGCTTGTAGCACAAGTAACTCCTAACATAGGTTTTTGCAATTGATCTTATTTCTTGCAATTCTTATTTTGGTTCGATGAAATTTTAAATTCCACTAGTTTGTTCTCAGAGCATGGACTTCAAATTCTTTTATTTTTGTGAAGAGGATATAGCATTCCCATCAAACACGATAAAACATACATGTATGTATAAACACATATCAAAGCAACATTCTCACAATGGCTCTAGTCACATTAGAGATTTTTTGCATTGATTTGGTTAAACTAGTCAACGGAGACTTCCCTTTAAACCCTTCTTCACAAACAGAAGCTTCGACACCGGCATCGATCACACCATCTTCGCCGAACTTGGGGACTCCTTTAGAGATAGCTTCAATGGCTTCGGGGACATCAGCTTTTATGATCGTTTTGTATCTTCTACTACATTGGTCTAAAGCTCGTTTTAGTTCCGGTCTCTTTTTATATAGACCGTTGATCTCGTTTAAGGTCTTTGTCGCCAGTCCCTACAAAATCATATATTTACAAAATAACCTCATAAGTTTATGCTCCTACAAATATATATTTATAAAATAACCCCTACAAAACACAAAAGTAAGAAAAATAAGCTAAAAATAAGCTAAAAATAACCCCTACAAAACACAAAAGTAAGAAAAATAATCTAAAAAATAACCCCTTACGTTTGTGATTTAACAAAACTAACCAAAACATTCTTATTTATCAAAAACAACCCCTTGTTACATATCTGCAAAACTGTGGTGATTATAATTACTTCTTGGTGGAAAAACGATGTTTTCTAACACTTATAACTGATAAAATTTTAATCATTTTATGATAGAATGAATTAAATATTACATCTATAATGAAGAAAAACATTGCAAATTTACAAAAACAACCACGTAAATTTGTGTTTTACACAGAAACAGCATCTTAAGTTGTGATCTATTCAAATTTGTCCCGAACACAAAAACGTCAAAAGTCTCAACTATTGGGTAGAGTAATGAAACTTAATATTGAAACTAACAAATCTTTTAGTCAAAATCTGACTCTTATAAGAGTCTTGAATACATGAAAGAAACAAGATCAAGAAAAGAAAATAGAAAAAATACCTTGATTTTATCGATGAGGATGAGAGCGAGACCAGAGGTGTCGGCAGAGGAGCCACGTGGATCGGAGTTGAGTAGAGAGACACAGAGATTGAAGTCTGGTGTCTCTTTACATGTCTGATCTATCATACTTGCTTCACTCACCAACACCATCATCATCATCACCATCAAGATCACCTTCATGATCATCTTCATCTTCTTGGATGATTATCTTGATATGTTAAAAGACAGAGGATTCACTTTGGTTATATAAGTGTGTGTGTGTTTCTGTGTGTATTAATCTGTCTGAGTAGTGCACGTCTCCAATATATATAATTGAATTGATGGTGTGTGTGCCTTTACCAAAATCCCTTAATGATTATCCCAAGATATTTTTAATAGGAAAAAAGATGGCTGGCTACACCAACTATAGAGGAATGCATGGTCACACATGCCAAGTATCCTATTGTATACTTAACTATACGAACTAGATGTATTGCATGGCCACATGCATCAACTATACAACGTCATGTAATCAACACCATAGACATAAAATTCTGGTACACCGGTCAACTGACTCTGGCGTTGACCGGTTTTGACTCCGGCGTTGACCGTTTTTTAGCCAAAAAAAAATCCAAATTTTTTTATATAATTTTATTTTTATTGTTAAAAAACTAAAAACTGTAATTATTTTATAATGAATTGTTATGGTTTTGTATACTTTTAAAAAATATAATCTTAGGAAAAAAATTGTAACAATAATTTTTGTATTTGAGTAAATCACATAATAAGTCAATGGTTTTGATTGACAATGTAAAAATAAGCAATTCCTTACTAATTCATAAGATTTTCCAGTTTTAATTTAGATTCTAATATCTTGAGTTATTTTATTATTAGTTTAGCTCTAAATTTAGAATTACCTAATTATAATAAGAATGAATACATTAAATATTTAAACAAAACCAGTGTTTAGATATTGAATATATAAAAACAAAAAAATTATTTTTTTGATTATATTTTTTATGGTTTTGTATAATGAAAAATATATAATCTTAGGAAGAAAATTGCTATGATAATTTTGTATTTAAATAAATCAAATAATAAGTTAATATTTTTATTAACAATATAAAAATAAGTAATTCCCTTACTAATTCACATAATTTTTCTAGTTTTAATTTAGATTTTAGTATCTTGAATTATTTTACTATCTTGAATTTTTCTAGTTTTAATTTAGATTTTAATATCTTGAATTAAATACAAAATCATCGTCGTCATTTTCTTCCTAAGATTATATTTTTAATAATATAATATCTTGAAATTGTTTATAGTTTTGTATAATTAAAAATTCAAAATTAATTACAGTTTTTAGTTTTTTAACAATAAAAATAAATTTATATAAAAAAAAAGTTTAGAATTTTTTTTTGGGTCAAAAACGGTCAACGCCGGAGTCAACACCGGTCAACGCCAGAGTTAGTTGACCGGTGTACCAGAATTTTATGTCTATGGTGTTGACTACATGACGTTGTATAGTTGATGCATGTGGCCATGTAATACATCTAGTTCGTGTAGTTAAGTATACAATATGATACTTGGCATGTGTGACCATGCATTCCTCTATAGTTGGTGTAGCCAGCCATCTTTTTTCCTTTTTAATAAGCTAAAATTTATCATTTCAGATATTTTCACGTATTATATTTTGATTTTAGTATATAGCAAACGGCATTGTCCAATCAAATTTTATTTTGGATGTTTCTAGATTTCTTTAGTTTGGGTTGTAAAGTAAAGTTTTTTAGTTTCTAAAGCATCCAAGAAACAAAACTAGTAAAAACATTAAATGTATAATGTCTAATGTTTTGACTGGAATATTATGTTACTATATGAGCAATAAATATGCCAAATTAAAAACTATAGAGGTTATATATATATTATTCAAAAAATATTAAAAATATATTTTATTTTTGTGTGAAAAATTGAAAATTGCTAAAATTATAGAACATATTGGTTGTGTCTCTATTTGAAGTCGAAACGTACGAACAAGAAGAGATAGTAACGTAAAGAAGAAGAAAAAACATTTTTCATCTTTTTTTTTTTTTTTTTTTTTTTTTTTTTTTGTCGACAAAACATTTTTCTTCTTAATTAAAAAATTCAAGTAGTCGTGCCAAAATAAATTCACAACTTTATAACAAAATACACAAGTCTCAACTATGCTACTAATGTGAACCCCGATACACAATAATACAGACAAAACTCTTCAATCTCTTCTTTTCACTTACTTCAACACAACCACCAATATTATACGGTCGAAGTAGATAAAAAAACAAGAGACATATGTAGTTTTGTTATTAATGTTCGGGCCAAAGTAATTAAAGTTGTTTCTATAACTTTCCAACGAACGAACTTACTTACATGTATGAAAACATCGACAGGTGGATCCAATCGTCGACGTTAACGTGTTACACTTTCATAAAGTAATCAAGAAAAGCTTCATCTCTAAACTAATCAATCATAAGGCTAACTTTTGCTTAATTAGCCGTAGTTTTTCCATTATCGTCAAATTGGTAATGGTATTGTAACGATTGCGAGTTGATTGAGTTACATAGTGGAGACATTACATCATCTTTAGAAAATGTAGGATAAAGTTTTAAAGTTGAGTTATCTTCAACATTTTCATTTGACAAAATATGACCATCTTTATAAAGCAATTCTTTTCTTACGATCCATACATATAATTTTACATCCTCCAAAGTTATTTTTATTTGTTGCTTTTTGGGGGCCAAACAACGAAAGATAAGTTCAATATGAGAGGTCCTTTTCGTACATATCATTCAATAAATATTCAATTTGACCGACGTACTTATTAGCTTTGATTCATTTTAAATCACGTAATGGTTTTTGTATATTAATTAGAATATGCATAGTTTTAGGTATTCCAACTTTGTCCAAATTGAGTTATATGTATTTTGTGTCCGAAATTTTAAGAAAACTACACTATCCGACAATAAACTTCTATGTAAGTTGTAACAACATCTATCTGTTACCAAATACTAATAGCTCAATTAGTAAAGATTTTTGGCAAAAAAACGTAAAGGTCACCGGTTCGAATAACGTTTGGTACGAAACCATGTAACATGTTTTGGTTTCGGGCCTGAGAATATGTATAGGTTTCGACCCAGAATTTCTTTAATTATTAAAAAAAAAAAAAAAAAAAACAACAACGATCTGTTGTCCTCAACTGATCCGTTCGAAACGTATCGTCGTATCCGAATCTGTCCAAAATAACATATGTACGTTCGATCTCTCCCACATCCTTCAAATACATACCTACGTAACTAATAAATCTATGCAAACAATATTATATTTCAAGTCTAGGAAAAACAAATAAGACCTCTAATGCAATATGAAAAGTTAAGAGTTTCAAATACATACATATTCTCATCTCGAATTTACAGAATTATTTTTGGGAACATTATAAACCGGTAATTACTTGTTTGTGTCAAAGTGTCTCATTCGAACCCATTATACAACTCGATTTAAAATAAAATAAAAAAACTTGATAATACAACAATTATACATCTCATCTCTCCAATGAAGTGAAGTACTAGATGCTTTATTCAAACCCCAAACTCAATATTCCAAATGTAATCCTGTTACCATTATTTGCTATTGGGCCTGAGTTGGGTCTCATTTAATCTACCAACTTTATAAATAGAATATTCGATTGAGAAAATCCATTTTTAAAACAATTAAAAAAAAAAAAGAAGCGGATTTAATTATTCGCACAAGCCGCACGTGTGAGTGATCCAAAACATAAATAATATTAAATTATTTATTTTTATTTCAGGTTTGGCCCGCCGCTGTGGTTCTTTGCGGCATCTTTTTTACCCTTACTCATCAAAACCACATTGTTCTCTCATCTTAACCGTACGATCACAATCCACGTCATCAATCCTCGTGAAATTAACATTCAACGGTTCAGATCTAATCTCAAAGACGGTACTGCTTCAGCTCATGAGTCGAACCTTCTCTAACCCTTCTCTCTCTCTTCCTCTTCCTCTAAAAATTCTCCAGGAAAATCGAATTTTTTCTCGGGAAAATCTTGTAAACCTTTAGAGAAACATGACTGGCGTTGGTGATGATAAGGACTTCAATGACAAAGAAGAGCCTGAGATTCAAGTTTTGAGCAGCGACGACGATAGTGATGAAGAACAACAAGTTAAAGCCGGTGGTGAAGATGGCAGCGACGACGACGAAGAAGATGCGAGTGAAGGAGACGATGATGATGATGATGAGGATGAAGAAGAAGACGATGACGATGATGATGTTCAGGTTTTGCAGTCTTTAGGTGGTCCTCCTGTACAATCAGCGGAAGATGAAGATGAGGAAGGTGATGAAGATGGTAACGGAGATGACGATGATGATGATGGTGATGATGATGATGACGACGATGATGATGATGAGGACGACGATGCTGAAGATGAGGTATAAATTTCTTAAATTTATCTATTTGTTGGTTTCTAAATTATGGAATTTGAAGTTGTTGATTTAGGGTTTTAATTCTCTGTGATGAATTTTGTAGATCTAGGGTTTTATATGCTTTGAATCCACTGTTCAAGACTGGATCTGTTTATCAGAATCTATGAACTTTTCTGGGAAAATTGATTCTTACTGTAACTAGAAATTGTTCTGTTTTATCCCCCAAATTAGGGTTTATGCTTTCTTCCCTGTTTTGGTTAAGTCTCTGTTTTTGTTTCTTTTGAGTGAAACTCTGTACCCAATTAGATTAGAAAGTGTTTAGATTTTGGGTTTTCATATTCCTCTTTCAAAGTCTTTACCTTTGTGGTCCTTATCTTGAAAAGGGTTCTTGCTTCTGATAGTATTCTCTGACTTTGTGGTTTTAGTTTAAGCGTTGAAACTGATGTTGTTATGTTTGGTTATGGTGTAGGCTGATCTTGGGACAGAGTACTTAGTGAGGCCAGTTGGTAGAGCTGAAGATGAGGAGGATGCAAGTGATTTTGAGCCGGAAGAGAATGGTGTGGAAGAAGACATTGATGAAGGAGATGACGAGGAGAATGATAACAACTCGGGTGGTGCGGGGAAATCAGAGGCTCCACCACCAAAGCGGAAGAGAGGTCCTGAAGAAGATGAAGATGATAGTAGTGGTGATGAAGATGATGAGAGACCTCCAAAGAGGTAGTATTCAAATCTGATAACAAACACAATGGAAACCAAAAGAGAGCTTTTATGTTTTCTTTTTTAAACAAAATTTGGGTGTTGTGAGATTTGGATCATTGGTTGGGTTGGGGTTCATGTAAGTTTATTATGGAGCAACTAGTTGAGTAGTAGTTTTTTAAGTTTTAAGTAGGGGGCTCTTCTTTTTTTATGCATTGCTGTTTCCTTTTTTTTAGTGAGTCAATCAATAACCAATGAATGTTTCTCCAACCATGTTGTACCTTAGTGTCTTCTTTAGAGCTTTCTTTTTCATATTTCTGTATCACTCTTCTAATTTTGAGTATAGTTCCAAACTCTAATGGTGCTTGTACGGTAGTACACAAGGTGTATTCAATCCGGATAACACGATCTTATTTGAACGGACCAAATAAGCCTTTAACCTGACATGTCGTCATGTCTTATAAGAGTGGGCTTGTTGTTTCGGAGGAACAGACTGACTTATTAATTAAAACTTTGTAATTTATAACATTTCGTTCTCACAACATGTAACTGAGCGATGTCTCCATTAGCTCCTTTAGGATAAAATCCACTGGGAACACTCTCGTTTCCACTTCCATACACAATTCGTTCGTAGGATCTCTTCAGGTGTTCTATCGTAAGTGAGAGACGACTCATCGCCGGCCAATATGTTTCCAGTCGCTTTTCCTTCTCCCTCGGCTTTACGTACCAACAAAGCCTCATCTTTCCGTCCTGTTTTGCCTTCCTTAGATCCGAGATCTTATTCGTGAAGGCCGCGACCGTGATATTATAAGGATGGACTATGTGAAGTCCGAGCATATAACATATCACTGCGTCCTGGCCTGATTCTACTCCCAAAAGTCCTGCTACTAACTGAAAAAACAAATGTTTGCATAATGTCATGTAACATATAAGGCCAATATTTAGAAACAAGAATCAACAAACTCATCTCTCTTGTAAAACTTGTTTAAATTAGTTTTCTTTTTAATTTAACATTTTGAAATATATCCAACATTCTTTGTAATAAGGTGAAGTTTTCGACAGAACTCGTAAAAGAGAACGTAATCAATAGAACTTCTAAAGACATTGATATAATAAAACGTATGTCATGATCTTATGAAAGCCTAATGAAACTACAACTTTTCTCAATGTGTATTTCTAAATATATTCCCATAAAACCATAGTCTTTTTTGTTGTAAGATGAGAATACGTTAGAATCAAAGAAAATGACGCCAACAAAGCCGGTGAGAGCAACATAAGGGACCAAATACGAAGCAATGAGGTACTTGTAGGAATTGGCATATGGATTGGATGGTGGCACAGATTTTATTTCCAAATGCTTTATCCATCACATTTGCAAAATGCATATTTACGCAATCAAGTTGTGGTCTTACAAATCCTTTCACCCTCTTCTTGATTGCCCTGTCATTTTCTTACATGATATGATACGATAAATTAGATAACTATATCATATGATATGATAAATTAAATTATAGTCCCTCGCCTAGCTAGTCACATAATCATAAGAAGAATTATTTCCACTATATCATATAAATAACTAAACATTTTACCTCAAGTGGCCAACCTCTTTCCAAGAAAACTGCAAAATAACACCTCTTGTCAGACGATCAAGCTTAGCTTTCTGAGCTCCAATAGGACTTTTGGCCTCCCATTGTTAAATTTGTAATGCTCCGAATAAGAAAAAATCAGCTTCAAGATCCTCCAAATTCAATGGAAACTCCAATAATATCCTATCCTTATGCATGCGTACAGCTCTTTGCATTATGTGGACAACTCCTAACTTGAAGATGGTGAATAATATTGAAAAGGAAGAACACCATCACCACTGAACCAACAAGCTTCTTCTCACTTTGGTTACCAGATCGTATCCATGGTGATTTTGTATTTCTTTCATAAACTAATTTAGGCTAAAACTATAGTATATAATTTTCATACATTTTCAACCATCTCTTTTCGATTATGGAAATTTCACTCTCACCAACATTTTATTACATTAATACCATAATTATTTTGTTTAGCCTCCTATATATAACCAAAAACCTAAGAACTACAAAGAAAATTCAACTCCAAACTGAAACTAGACCTCACTCGCAGTAGTAGTAACCAAATAAGACTTAGCAATTTCCCCATCAGCTCCTTTAGGGTAAAAGCCACCAGGAACACTTTCATTTCCACTTCCATACACAATCCTTAGAATCTCCTCAGGTGTTCTATCATACGCAAGCGACAACTCATTACCCACCAATACATTCCCATTCACTTGTCCTTCTGCTCCCATGACTTTAGGTACGATCAATCCCTCATCCTTCACTCCTGCTTTTCCCAATTTGTTCCTTAAATTCGAGATCTTATCCGTGAAAGCCGCAACCGTGATACCATAAGGATAGACTATATGTCCCGCTCGAGCATATAACATTGTTCTTATAACCGCGTCTTGACCCGATTCTACTCCCAAAAGCCCTGCTACTAGCTGAAAAAGTGTTTGCATAATGTCATGTAACATCTAATGCAAAAGTTTATTTAAAAAACACATCTCTCTTGTAAACCTTGCTTAAACTACTTTTCTTTTCAATTTAACTTTTGCAAATATATCTAACATTCTTTGTAATTAGATGAAGTTTTAATTAGACATAACTCTTAAAGAGTGTGTGTTGTATTATATTTATAAAATTCAATCAAATTAAATATCATCTTACTCCATTGATGTGGATGAAAATTAATTCATTAATTTTTATAAAGCTTAATTAGACTACATCATTTTAATATGGAATCCTGAATATATATACATGAAAAACCTTAATTTGTGGTTATAATATGAGATTATATCAATCGAATAAAAGAATGTGTTACCTTTCTTGATTCCGGACATTGCAGTTTAGGATTAGCGCCAACGTAGCCGGTGAGACCAACATAAGGGATCAAGTATGAAGCAATGAGGAGTCGGCCTCAAAAAAATTTTGTTTTATGGTGGCTTAAATTTTACTCCAAATGCTTTATCCATCACTTTCGCAAATGATTTTATACTCAAATCAAGTTGTGGCCTTGGAAACCCTTTCACCGTTTTCTTGATCGCCCTATAGAAAAATATTGGTTCAGATTATGTTAATGTGAATTACAATTAACAAAAAAAAAAAAAGAATCTCAAAGCTGCGATAATTTAATCGGTAAGTTGTATATTGATATCTATAAATAGTGATTTATAAGAACCGGTATATAAATATTCACTGAATTTGTTCATATGTGCAAGGCTAGAAGATATTTTCTGGTTAAAAATAATAATACATCAAACCAATCATTTAATTTAATAACTTCTCCAAGCTACCAATTAAAATAAGAAATCCCTAGTCTAAATATATAATTATAATATATGCAAATTGCGTAATAACTTTAATATTTTTTTAGAAAAATCCTTTTCTCCTAGACATGTAAATAATCAAAATTATAAACAAAATATATTATGTATGAATTAAAAGAAACATTTTACCTCAAGTGGCCAACCTCTTGCCAAGCAAACTGCAAAATAACATCTCTTGTCAAAGGATCAAGATTAGCTTTTTGAGCTCCAAGAGGGCTTGGACCTCCCATTGTTAGGTTTGGTGCGACCTTATCAAGACCAAACCCTAACGCTCCGAACAAGAAAAACTCAGCTTCAAAGTACTCCAAATTCAAAGGAAACTCCAACAGTTTTCTGTCCTGATCTGTACAGTTGGTCGCCCCCTGATCATTATTATTGGGACAACCCATGACTTGAAGATGGTGAACGTTGAAGAGGAAGAACAACACCATCATCATTGAAACAAACAAGCTTCTTCTCTCTTTTGTGATTGCCATGTCTTAGAATTGTTGTAACTTTGGCTTTTGTCTTTTTGTTTTATGATCTGATTTGGTTTTGGGTTTGAAGATGGTTTATTTATAGGGTTTAGGACACTTGAGTGAGCAAAAGAAGTCTCCCCTCTTTTGCCGGAGTAGATTTCGTGGATAATGCCACGATGATTTTTACAGCGAGATGAGTTCCACGTGGATATTTGACGATTTCAGTTACTAATTTTAGGACACATCTTTAGATTTGTGAGAAATGAACGGAAAAGTCTTGTTGTCTTTTCTTGAGTTTTATTTTGATAAGAAGGTTAGGTTGAATTGAATATTCTTTGTTTTTAGTTTCATGTATTTAATAACCAAACGATAAAAGTTATAAAACTATTCAAATACGTTTTTTCTATTTAAATATTATAATTGCATGAGCTTACTAAGTTTGAGTTACCATTTTTTTAGGATGCATATATATGACAACGAACAGAGAAGAAGTCTTTTGTCTTTTTGAGTTTATTTGATAAGGGTTAGGTTGAACAATACAAGGATAACGTATGACGGTATGAGTCAGAGTTACGATACTGTATATGTATGAATTAATTAAGATAATTTTTCCTGTTTTCTCGATCAATAAAGCAATCTTTATCTGATTCCAAGAATTTCTCGTATATCAAAACTTGGGTTTCTTTGCATTGCATGCTTCTTTATAAATCCATTGGCCGTTAATATATTGTCATGCAATATATGTTCTCTCTTCTTCTTCTTTTTTTTCGCAAAACTACAGTTCACGTACGTTTGAATATTCTTTGTTTATTTTTTCACATGAACTTGGGCTGGGTGGAATGGTCTAGATATTGGGTTAAATGGGCCTGTTTATCACTTTGAAGATAATTATTGTAGCACTAATCAGAAAGGGCTTAGTAAACCTTTTATTAATTTATGTTTTGAATTCACTATAACCCAAGATCTATGATCCAAAAAGACGAGACCACATTTGTATCGTATTTTCAGTTTTGAGACGAAACGCTTCTAACAATTTGACCACTTCGATTAAATCATTTCTTGGAAAATGTTACTAGAGAAACTAGATTGTTCTATTCAAAAATACGATTTCCATATCCAGGTGAAATTAGAATTCTCTACTCACTAATACGATTTTCAGTTCTTTTCTCCTTTTTTTTTTTTTTTTGTAATCCGTTATGTGTAACAAAGGTCGTATATACAATTTTGGCTCCATTTGGGACACATGTGATATGGATATGGTGCAACTTCCTCGACAGCTCCTCTTCTACCACAACTTGAAGATAATCTCCAAAATACTAGAAGCTACTGATCCCAATTGATCTATGAACTTCCAAGAAACATAAGGGGTACGATGCACTGTTTCTCCATCTTGATGAGAGGCCGGGCCGGATATGATGATGATCATCATCATTACCCATATATCATTCAACATCTAATAATAGTTAAAATTAAATAAGTTTTAATCACTAAATGATGGTTTCATAATGCAAATGGTTGTGATTGGTTCACTTCTAATTTAACCAAAATTATTGTGGTCCTTTGGAGGACCATCGCAAAGCCAAAATTCATTGGAAATAAATTGTTTTTTTTTTTTTGTAATCCAATGGTGGACTACTAGGGCATTTAAAAAAACAAAAGCGACCACTTTCACTTTGATTACCTACATTTGTAAACTAGTATGAACAATGTAAGTTGCGACATCATAGGATCCAGTCTCACTCTTAAGTTTTCCAAATGACAAGCTACCATATTTGTAAAGAACGTAAATGGAAGGAGTCACCAACGAGCTTATAATTAAGATTAGATAGCTCATCCGCATAATTGGTCACATAACTATATATCTTCTCTAAGTCACCAAACTTGATGCAGTAGTGGTTTGCTCGGAGAAGCTTTGAATAATCCTCTTTTGAGTATGCCTCTCTCAATATTTGTTTTGTTCAACACTCTATTTTTTTTCTTCCATTAATTAGGTTTTGACTCCATCCTTCATTGTATAACTTTGATATGTTGTTAGCAATTTTATAGTATTATTTTGGAAAAGGTGGGTATCTTCATTATTAAATTTTAGTATGTATTACTTCTAGGTAGGTAGGCAATATTAAATTATATTTAATTTCAAAGAGAGAATTTATCACCACTTTAGTCGTTAATTTTATTATTATTGTAACTAATGCTATATGATTGTAAATACTATTTCAACGGCTCTGCTTAATTTATTGTATTGAAAAACTTTACATTATATAATGGCTTTGGCTAGAAGTACTTGTGGCCTAAATCACCTACAGTAAAACCTCTATAAATTAATACTTGATAAATTAATAATCTTTATAAATTAATAAATTTCTCCGGTCCCAAGTTGGGACCAGTGTAATTTTAGACACATTTCGATAAAATAATAAGATAATAATTTTTTGAAAATCTTTTGTAAATATATGGTCCCATCAATATTATAAATTAATAATTAGGTAAAATTTTCAAAATATATGTATATATAGACACATTATTTTTTGTTAGAGTTTATTTCTAATATTTTACTATATAAAAATTGTTAGAATTCTCTTTAAAAACATAATAATACTGTATTTAGTTACCAATCAGACAGGATAAATATATTCTCTAACAAAATACTATTTTACTTGTTAATTATAAATATAAGAAAAAAAAAATTCAACTATTCAATTGCTTGTAAACATTTAACCGCTTCATTCCGCATCTTGTCATGTATGTAAACCACTTCCTTCCTAACTGGCTTGTTTGAACTAATCTTTTAGTAGTGTTAAAAAAAAACACTGAACCGCTTTTTAATTTTAGTAAAGAGATAATATGAGTAATTTATTGATATCTTCTTAAACCATACTCCCTCTGTTTCACTATAAGTGATGTTTTAGCCAAATTTTTTTTGTTTCAATATAAGTGATGTTTTCAATTTCTTATGCAAAGATTTAATGTATTTAATATTTTTTGACCAATTATATTTTACATCATATTTTCTTATTGGTTAAATTTATATTAATTAATGATGTTTTTATGGAAAATGGGTAAATTATATGTTTTATTATTTAGTGTGTCAAAACCTTAAACATCATTTATAATGAAACAGAAGAAGTATTTTTAATTACCTTCTTTGTAATTGCCACTTACAGTTATGTGTTTTAGCTAATTTGATTTAATTACATGCAACATTTTAAAAACTATAGAGTTGTTTATGATTCACTTGAACTATTCATTTTCATTGACTGGTCAAATCATAATCTCCATTTTTACCATAAATATTGCAACTCCATGTGCAACTGCTACGTACATGTAACGTGTCTTTGGTCTTTGGGTATGAAAATGTTCTATACGTAAATACTTAGTGGGTTTTACGTGATAGTGAATCGAATTATATTGAAGAGAAAGTGAAGTGTAATTGTGTGATTTGAACATCTAACCTCTTCACCTTTCCTGCAGAATCAGGTTTCATATATACTTTGTTTATAAGCATTTTCCTATTTTTAGTATGGATTTCTTAGGTGCTCCTCATTATCATTATAATTATTTCTTACATTTTGGATAATTTTGGGAATAAATGTTCTAGAAACAAAACCTATATAATGAAACAACTGACACAGTCCTATGACATTCAAAGTCACACCACATTCAATATACATTCATAGAATATGAACACTTGTATACATTTAATGACAACAAAGAAAGGTTGGATAAGTGAATGAATTTTTGCAGATAATTAGAGCTTGTGCATTTAATAATGACATTAAAGGTTGGATTATCTAAAGGAGTAAAATATACAATTACCGATTTAAGTCAACAATATTAATTCTTCATATAAATTTAAAATATATATCGTATTTAATCACGATCCGTTATTTTTGTAATCATTCATAATACTAGTAGTTATCAAATTTTCATTTACATGATTTGTAAAAGTGATTTTGCCATATAAAACTAAGATGTTAAAATATAACTACAAAAAATAATCTAAATCAATTTAACTCGATTGTAGTTGTTTTATAAAGACTTAATTTATCCATTCAGTTTAATTTGTTATTTCGATATTCTGTTGAACAATTGTATAGTTAATCTCGATCTAAATTAGAATATGAGCAAAATCATAGTATATATGTTTTTGAGGAAAAAATATAAATTTAGGAGAAAACGATCATTAAAAGTATCCTGAACATGTAGGACCGTAGGGGTGGTATGTGAAAGCTTGGATTCTGACACTGTGATATTAACTATTTTGTAATAAAACTAAATATCTCTTTTTTTCATGTAATGTATATATGTAATGAGATAACCAAATATATTTAGCAGAAACAAATGTAAAAATATATAGGAGCTGAATATTTTCTTCTTTCTTCTTTCTTCTTTCATTTTTTTTTATCATTTCTATAATTTTATTATTATTTATCAATCAATATTTATATTTCATTTACCTCAACCCGATCAACATTGCATCACATTCGAACAATTTTAAAATGGACTGTAGATTGAAATCAATATAATACGAGTCAATGAAGCTATCCATAAAAGTCTGGCTACAAAGCTGAATATAGCAGTTGGTGGTCAATAAATTTGTGTATATATAGAAAACACACACACACATATTCCTTATATAGGAATGTACCACTGGTTCCCATTAACTTGATCCGACCAAATTCAAAACCCATACTATTTTTTATTTTTTTTTATAATTTAGATTTGACTTTGTTTGTTTACAAATTCGAAAGAAACACCAATATCTTTACAGTTTCAAGAAACACAAAGAATATAAAATTATCCAATACGAATATAAACATTGTCATAAGATATCACCGCCAATATCTACTTTTCTTTTAGTCGTAAAATCATTCAAAGTATATTTATATTTTATCGGTCGGCCGGTCGGTTATTATATTATCTCTCATAGGTTGTCGTCGGTTATTTAATCAACTAGAGTGGAAAGCTATGATTCCATAAAGAAAACTATAAAATTGTATTATGGATATTGAAATAGTAAA